TTACATCTCTCCTTCCACATCCACCAAATAGCGCATCTGAAAGTAGCCGATTGTGTCCCTTACTATTGACACAATTTATGGAGATATTGTAATTTTGATGAAAAAAGATATAATTTTTATTAATAATTTATTAAAAACCATACTATTGACTTTTAACCTGATTGTGTCCCTTACAATCGTTGTTAACGAGGGGCTCCTATCTTTTCTCATTTAGATAAAGGTGCCTTTTTAGGTCAAATGATTTTATTTATTTTTTGAACTGGCCCAGTTTGATTATTTTCTGTTGTACTAATCTAGTCTATAGTTGTGTTTCTCAAAGTTATCCGTCCTCGTCCGTCTTCTCCTCTTCATTTTCTTCCTTTATCTTTTTTTCTTTTTCCTTTCACTGTTTTTTCTTTCTCCTCCTCTGTCTCCACCTCCTTCAACTCTACCTCTGCCTCTGCCTCTGTCTCCTTTGCCAACATCTCCACCTCTTAAAAGATTTTAGAATAATTAATTATCAAATTTTAATTTTTTTAACCAAAAAATATATTTTAGTTTATTTTTAAGTATAAAGTGTTAACATCAACGAGACTATTTCAAACTTATACTATTCTACTAGGACATCATTCTGACATCATTAGTAATTTTTTATTTTTATAAATTTTATAATAATTTATTATTTAATTTTAGTTTTTTTTTAATATAGATTATGTGAACAAGAGTATTTTTTTATTCATTTTCTTAGTATAGTTGGGTCAATTTCAACCAAACCATTTAGGATATCATTCTAATATCATTAGTAATATTTTATTTTAAAAAATTTAAAATAATTAATTATCAAAATTTAGATTTTTTTTTTATAGAACTTGTGAACGAATACATTTTAATTCATTTTCAAGAGCAATAGAGTCAACTATAACCAAACAACCTCAAAGTTTTATCACTCTACTAGAACATGATTTTAACATCATTAGTTATTTTTTATACTTTTATAAAATTTTAAGATAATTAATTATCAAATTTTAAATTTTTTATCTGTGTTCTGTGAAGGATCATATTTTAGTTCATTTTCGAGTATAGTAAGGTCATCATCAATAAAACTATCTCAAAATTGCAATAGATATCTATTAGGACATCATTTTAATATCATCAGTAATATTTTTATTTTAAAAAATATGATAATTAATTATCAAAATTTAGATTTTTTTAGATACGTTATGTGAACGAGTGGCCTTAAATTCATTTTCGAATGTGACTAGGCCAACTTCGATCAAACAATTTAAAATTTTTAATAATCTATTAGATCATCATTCTAATGTTATTATGGGAGACAAGGGCAGAGGAGAGATGGAGGAGGAGAGTTTAGGAATTTGATCTGAATTGATTCAATAAAATTTTATAAAACTGATATTCATGCAAAAAAAAAAAAAAACGATTATGAGAGACACTATTGGATAAAAAACGATTATGAGGATAAATTATCCATTGTTTATCATACTCCCATGATCTCCTCTCGTTCGTTTGTGAGATTGGTATCAGAGCTATCAATATCAACGTCATCACTAAGTAGAAGCTGGCTGGAGGATACTTTTAGCCGGTCTTTTAACGAGACCTTCACCTGTGACAAGTTCTTCTCTTCCCATCTGAAGCTTCACAGGCTTCGTTGCGTAGGAAGAAGAAAGGAGACTGGAGAACTAAATAGGAGATAAAGCAAACCGAAGACAAAGAAATGTACGAGAAAGAGCACAAGCAAGAAATGCAAGTGATCGATGTGCGGTTCTCCGGAGGAGTCATCGTCCTCCACCCTACACCAGATCAGATCAGGAGAGATAAGTGCCACAAACACCGGCGCCTCCGATGCAACAGCCGCACCTGCAACCTGCCTCACCGGGAAGCACCAGCCTGCTGTCCCTGGACCGCTGCCTCGGCTGGCTCGGACCGCCCACAGAAGAAAAGATGACGATGGAAATGACGGAGAGCCACATTATGACCGCGCAGAACACAAGATCAGCTTCTCCGTTGTGGAGCTCGAACACCATAGCCATGGCCTCGGTGCTGCTGCTGCTGCTTCCTCCTTCCTTCCTGTGCGCAGACTTCGTTAGACCGCAGCTATAGCATTGCAGGCTTCATATCTAGCTGTGTTGTTACACCTACCTACTCTCATCATCCATGGGGGGCTGTAAACAAGGAAGATGAAGCCTTCTTCTCTCGTCCTTTTGTGTTGCATGGGAACCAGAGAGATGACTAAACTACAGCGGTTAATCAAGAGAGGTGATTAGATTTAATGGGCATCCATCCATCTGCCAAACCTAACATGTACCTCTCTCTTTAATGAAGATGTATACATTCCCTTGCAGTAGCTACAGCATCGCTTTCATGGTCTTAATGAACCAAAATGTACCATCTTGTACGGGTGACTCAATTATGAGATCTAATTGCTGTGTGCACCTCTCATTAGCTATGAGTAGTAATCTATATAATGCATTACAAAATCATGAGAAGAAAAAGAGATAAGAGAGTATGAGAGATTAGTTAGTTTCAAAGGTTGAGAGATTATAAGTGACAATGTTGAATGAAAGCTTTTAGTTATCAGCGTTTCTTTAGGAATAGTCATATTTCATAATGGATGCAGAAGATGTTATGAAGGCTTGTAGTGATAGGTTGAGCAAGCAGCAGAAATGGAGGAGGATGGTCGGTGGAAAGACAACATGGTGCTTTAAATAGCGGACATAGTTTGTTGAAGCCGCCACCACTATATCATTGATCTCATTTAAAGACGGCTGGGCCACCAAGCATGCATGCACTCACGCAGCAGCGGATTCTACTCTCATGTCTTCTGAGAAGCAACATAGCGTGCCCAAACGTTAGTGGCGATGCCAGCGCGGTGGGGTGAGGTGCGGTGGGAGTGCTTCCCGTCCTCGTTTTCATCTCATCCCTGTCCTTCGTCCACATCTCATTTCCTATCACAAAATCTCGTCTCTATCAGGGAGAAAAACCCATGAGTTAGAGTAATTTACAGTTTTTACAGTTTCACTCCATTGAGAGGCTTAGGAGACAACCCTAGAATTTTCTTTCCTCTCTTGACAGATCAAAACTTGGAAGAAAAGAGGAAGGAGAACTTTTAACTCATACAACACTTTTTAGCTCTAAAAATCACAGAATAAGATCAGGATTTTGGTGGTTTTTTGTTATCCTTTCATTGCTAAAAGGGTGGGGTATTTATAGGCCCCAACCCAGTTTGAATTCCGAGCTCAAAACTGTCAATTTTCGGAATTCCGGGGCTGGCGGTTGTACCGCCTGACAGAGCTCGAAGACTGAGCCTCTATGTGGTGCCACTGCTTGTCAGGGGCGGTTGCACCGCTTGGCAGAGCTCGGAGACTGAGCCCTGGTGGTGCCACCGCCGACCCAAGCGGTGCCACCTCTGGCCAAGTAATCTGGGTCCGAATGGGTTGATCCATTCGGCCCAATTTGGGTTTGTCAAGGGCCCAATTGCTCCAATATTAAGTTAATGGGATCACCTCCCATTTCTAACTTAATCATCGTACTAACTACGAATCTCTTAAGACATTTACTGCAACTTGTTCCGGTGCGTCAATCGCTTCTTCCGGCGAGCTTCCGTCAATCATCCGATGAACCCTCAATGATGCTCCTGCGGACTTCCGGCAAACTCCTGGACTTGCGACGATCCACTCGGCGAGTTCCGACGAGCTTCTTTTGGCAAGCTCCTAGACTTCTCGGATTTGTTCCTGCAGAACCTCCGATGACCGTCCAAACTTCCATTGAGCTCTCGAACTCCCAACGTGATCATAGTCTTTGACTCCGGCTCAACACCTGTTGCATGTCTTTCTTTCATCGTAGTTAATCCTGCATACTTAAAATAAAACTTTGATCGAGACAATTAATCCTAAGGAATTAACTAAGTTGTCTGGCATGTCATTGGTCCCTCGACGCTTTGTCCGATTCTTCGACGCATCGTCCTCTCCTACGGCCTATTGCCCAATCGGCCAGTTGACTATACAACTCCGATATCCTTAGCGCAATACCCGCTCTTCTTGACCCGATGCCCAAGTCCACGGCCCGAAGCCTTCTGTCGATACGTCGACCGATCCATCGGCTCGACGTCCAATCTTCTGACATGTTCCTCCAACACAACATGATTTTTCCTACTTTAATTGTCTCATCCTGATCGAAGCATCCTGCGTCACTCAAAATGCAGATTAAAACATAAATACAATTATAATTTGGTTTAATCATCAAAATACGAGATTCAACAATCTCCTCCTTTTTTATGATGACAACCAATTGATGACGGAGTTAAACTTAACTCTCGGAGTTTAAACAAACTCCCCCTATCAATATGCCATATTGATAGAATCTTGAATCCAAACTGAATTCAAGTCATTGCAATATTCATCATGAATACTTGCAACACGTCATCATGAACTTATGCACAACATCATACTTCTCCCCCTTTGTCATCAACGAAAAGGAGAAGTACCATAATCAAGTGTTTGTTATATAGGTTCAACTCATTGCATGAAAAACATAGTATCATCATGCAATTTTGCTATCATCATAGATATGCAAGTTAGTAAGATAGCAAGTTCCACAACATCAAGCTAGCAAATTTTATAATATTTTAGAACATGCAAGCTAGCAGTTTTGAGATGTTCAAGAATGCAACTCTTGCTTTTTGAAATATGCAAATTTGTCAAGTTTTGCTAGATGTGCAAGTTAGCATTTTTGCCTCTTGAGATAGGCAAGATAGCACATTTGCTTCTTTTGAGATAGCAACTTTTTGCTTCTCTTTAGAATTGTGCACGCTAGTTATCTCCACATTAGTCATTGTCAAAAAGAAGGGAAGACCCTTTCTAAAGAAGGGAAGACCCTTTATGTCAATTTCTAAATCATGACAAAGGTGAGTAATCATTCTTATTTCAAAATTTCATAATTGAGATAAACCTTGAATTCAAATCATGATTCATATCATATGCAATACATCACATAAAAAGCATAAGTATTGCATGCATCATTTTAGCAACAAATTGTAGCATTTCATCATAGGGCAAGATATCATAAAGTAAAATTACGATGCAAGTTCTTGATATCTTAACATGATGCAAACATGGCATATGACAATCATAGCATTTTGATTATCAATTTATCATATATTTCGATACAAGCTTCTTTTGATATCTTAACATAATTCAAATTCAAATATGGCACTTATAGCATTAATTCATATATTTCTCATTCAAATATGACACTCATAGTATCAATTTATATATTTCTCCCCCTTTGTTATAAACAAAAGGAGAAGTAGCTCTAGCTATTTTAAAAGATATGCAAGTTTTTGTAACATGAAGCTAGATTTTCATCACAACATATAAGCACAAAAGCATAGCAAGATTCTTAAGTTCAATCATGACAATTCAACACTTGCTTCTTGTGCAAGATTGCACTTTGCTTTTCTTTGCATGTTCTAACTAGCTAGCATTTTCCTTGAGCTAGCAATCTTTCTCCCCCTATGTCATTACCAAAAAGAAGGGAGAAATCAATGGCCAAAAATTTTTTAATTATTATACAGGCCATATTACAAAATCTTGTCATGATATCAAGAAAATTCAAGGACATGATTAATTCGACAAATCCTTTTAATAGAGCAAAAGAATTATACAACCAAGGATCATGATTTAAATATATCAATATCATATATCAAGTCATGATTCGTGATTAATCATAAAGCAAATTAATTTTCTATCATCAGATAAGGCATTTAAAGAATTTTTGAAACATAGGAGAATGATTAATTTAAGCATGCAATGTTTCAATCAAATTCAAGTCATGAATACCAAAAGATATTATTTGTGATTCTAATTTTGCAAGATCAAGATTATGATTTAGATAAAACTCATTCAAATCAAATCGTTAACTTGAAACTCGTAATCATGTCATCAAAATCAATTTCGAGATTCACAAAATATCATGAAATTATTAATCTCGATCAGATGGGAAAGCATTTTTTAAGTGATTCTTTTTCATCTAAGCATGCCTTAGTCTTTATATGCCAAATCAAGATAAATATGAAAGTTCAAGACGTAAAGGCAGAATCTTATAAAACAACTCATCAAGCAAGATTTTAAACATCCATTTTCAAGCCATATAAAGATTAAGTCAAGGATTCAATTATCTCATGTCATGAATTCCAATAGGCATATCAAAATATCAACATCACATTAAAAAGATATTTCAAAAAGATATATCAATAAGTGATTCATTTGTATCATTTCATTCATTCGTAAGATTCTCCTCTTTGGTAAATAAATGTAGGAGAACAAAATGAATTAAGAAGATGTAACATGATTGAAGCATTGAACATGATTCATATTTAAAATGTGTCTCATGTCATAAGTATGAATCAAGCATTTGTAAAATCCGAAATCATCCTCAAAGTCACATTCAATAAATTCATACATGACAAGCATAGATTTATTGAAAAGACGATAAGATAGAGGATCACATTTCGTTTTTATAAATTTATATTCATGTGATTTACTTCTTATAAGCATGTCTTTACCTTTAATAAAACAAGTGTCAACATTTAAGATGGAAAGGTAAAAAAAAACAAATCATCAAGCATGATTCCTCTAGAAAATTCTCCTTTTTAAATATTCAAAGAGAGAATCATGATGAACATTCTTGGTTTTCATAAAG